CAAGGACTTTCTAGGGAATAATACTGGGGCTTATGTTTTCATTGTAGAACTGTCTCAGATGTTCTAAAGATACTACAGAACACAGCCTGTCCTGTTAGCAAGTTAGAAGGCTGGTAGGACTGCGGGAGGCTGCCTGCCCTTCACCATTTTCTCCCCACTTCCAGTAACTGCTCTTATTTTGTGTGCCAACAACTGCTGACTCCAGGATTGCGTAAGCCCCCTGTGAAATTGGTGTCGTACCGCATACCCTGCCAGCTGGGACTTGTTATCCTACTGTATTTTCTAAGGAGTGAACAATCTTGTCCGAGTAACTAACTTATTTAAGACATTTCCTTCTATGGGCATTGACTCCATCTCACCAATTTTCCAAGGAAATGGTAACCTGTTTATGAGAACACGTGAAATCAATGGCTGTACATTTCAAACCAATCTAACAGCTATTTCCTTTTGGTGTGGGTTTGGTTTTGTTGTTCATTTTGAAATACCCTTTTGAACACTGACATGCCTGAAACTACTAGATCTTCAGAAGTGTAATTGTGAAAGAAACTTGCTTGCAATTTTAACAAAATGAGAAACTTGCCAAATAAAATGTGTTTTGAAGTTTGTGTGACAGTTTGCTTCCCTGCAGGTTGAGTGCCTCTTGTGACAGTGTTCAGAAATGTGGGCAGCATGAGGAAGGGAGCTGGCACTGGGTCGAAGAGCCGGGTTTCTGACTTATTTCTTGGTTGCTTTCCTGTTGCTCCCATTCTTGCCAATCAGCCACCCCCCTACCTGTGAAAATCTGCCACCTTGAGGAGAAGAACAAGAGTTTGAGACGGAATTTCTCTCTTGTCACCCAGGCTGGAGGGCAGACTAGTGGTGCCATCTTGGCTCACTGCAACCTCTGCCTTCCGGTTCAAGCGATTCTCCTTCCTCAGCTTCCTGAGTAGCTGGCATTACAGGCACATGCCACCATGCCCAGCTAACTTGTATTTTTCATAGAGGTGGGGTTTCACCATGTTGACCAGGCTGGTCTCAAACTCCTGACCTCAGGTGATTCACCTGCCTCAGCCTTCCAAAGTGCTGAGATTACAGGCGTGAGCCACCATGCCTGGCTCCTGGAACAAGAGTTCCAAAGAGCTAATGGTCTCCCTCCAGCTCCTCCCTTGGGATGAGCTGTGGATGTTGATATATGCAGATGATATCCTGTCTTACTCATCTTCCTTTGCCCTTAGCTGATGGCTAAATGGCAATTTTCAGACTATTAAAGACTGAAATGTAAGAATGAGCCTTCCAGCCTCAGTGGTGCATGCCTGTAATCCCAGCACTTTGGGAGGCCGAGGCAGGTGAATCACTTGAGGTCAGGAATTCAAGACCAGCCTGGCCAACATAGTAAAACCCTGTCTCTACTAAAAATACAAAAATTAGCCGGGTGTGGTGGTACGTACCTGTAATCCCAGCTACTTGGGAAGCTGAGGCAGAGAATCACTTGAACCCGGGAGGCAGAGGTTGCAGTAAGCTGAGATGGTGCCATTGCACTCCATCCTGGGCAACAGAATGAGACTTTGTCTCAAAAAAAAAAAAAAAGAGGCCGGGCGCAGTGGCTCACGCCTATAATCCCAGCATGTTGGGAGGCCACGGTGAATCACTAAGTCAAGAGATCGAGACCATCCTGGTCAACATGGTGAAACCCCGTCTCTACTAAAAATATAAAAATTAGCTGGGCACGGTGGCACATGCCTGTAGTCCCAGCTAGTCAGGAGGCTGAGGCAGGAGAATTGCTTGAACCTAGGAGGCAGAGGTTGCAATGAGCCGAGATCGCGCCATTGCACTCCAGCCTGGGTAACGAGCGAAACTCCGTCTCAAAAAAAAAAAGAAAAAGAAAGAGCCTTCTAGACGTGGAGGCCCACGCCTATAATCAGCATTTTGGGACGTAAAGGCAGAAAGATTGGTCAAGACTGGAGTTCAAGACCAGCCTAGGCAACATACCAAGACCCCTTCTCTATAAAAAAATTAGCCAGACATAATGGCACATGCCAGTAGTCCCAGCTACTTTGGAGGCTGAGATGGGAGGATCACTTGGGCACAGGAGTTCGAGGCTGCAGTGAGCCATGTTTGCCCCACTGCACTCCAGCTTGGGCGACAGAGCAAGACCTTGTGTCAAAAAACGAAAAAAGTCTTCCTTTTGTATTCCTTTATAGTTCCCTTGTCTAACTTTTCAAATATGTCAGTCTTACAAAGGCAAAGGCAGCCCTCCCAGGATTCCCCAAAGACTTCTGCATTTACCTGTCTACCTCAGTTAATAGATAGAGTGGCTCACCATGTGGTAGGTGATATGCTGCTGCAGAGTCAACCTGTTATGCCTGTAGCTCTTCTGAATATCTTGTTATTTTCCTGTTTAAGAGAGTTCCCACACTTGAAGAGAATATTGGTGTTTTAACATAGTAGCATTGACTAATATATTTGTCTCCTGATGAATTACTCAGACACTTTGATTTAGCCACTCCATATCTCTGAACAGGAAAGCTCGTATAGATGGAGTGTGATTGGAGGCTGAGCCTCAGCCCTACTCACCTTTATTTATGTATGTATGTATGTATTTATTTATTTATTTTGAGGCAGAGTTTCGCTCTTGTTACCCAGGCTGGAGTGCAATGGTGCGATCTCGGCTCACCGCAACCTCGCCTCCTGGGTTCAGGCAATTCTCCTGCCTCAGCCTCCTGAGTAGCTGGGATTATAGGGACGCGCCACCATGCCCCGCTAATCTAGACACCTATTAATGCATGAGCTGTTCAAGGACAGACCTGGTTATAAAGCTTCTGGGTCATCGGAAGGAGTCCTTTGAGGGACTCCAAGAAAATGAGGGTAGTATTATTTAGAGGAAGCTGAATGTTAACTCTGTAATATAAATTACTACATATAAGTTGTATACCCACTGTCCATCTAAATTACAAAATTAGCTTTTGTATATATTTGATTTTCACAAATCAAAGGTTACAGGTAATAATGTTCTTTTCAAACTTCAAAAGTGTGTGTGTGTTCATTAGAAGGACTCAGAGAATATTTACTTTTCACGTAGTCCTATATAAAATAGTTTCTATAATCAGATCAACGGTGATAACTTTTTTATTCCAGTGTAAAATTAAACAAGTGCGAAGATATCCACAGAGACCACAAAGATACAATTACATAGTTTGAAGGAGGCAATTAGAATCCAGCAAACTAGTGTGTTTGTTAAAAGCCTATTTCTTGACTGTCAGCCTTTCTCTTGAAACTAGAATATATGTTGCTTTAAGGTGTCTTTAAACAAGTAACCATTTTCTCTTAGCTGGTAGTGGATGATAATTCCCTTTTAGAAATACTTCTCTACAACTATCCTCTCTCAACTCTGAGGATCTTGGATAAACAATAATTTTAGCCGGGCGCGGTGGCTCACGCCTGTAATCCCAGCACTTTGGGAGGCCGAGGCTGGTGGATCACGAGTTCGAGAGATCGAGACCATCCTGGTCATCCTGGTGAAACCCCGTCTCTACTAAAAATACAAAAAATTAGCTGGGCATGGTGGCGCGTGCCTGTAATCCCAGCTACTCAGGAGGCTGAGGCAGGAGAATTGCCTGAACCCAGGAGGCGGAGGTTGCAGTGAGCCGAGATCGCGCCGTTGCACTCCAGCCTGGGTAACAAGAGCGAAACTCCGTCTCAAAAAAAAAAAAAAACCAATAATTTTATCCACGCCAAAAATAAACTAAGAAACAATCAGAATAAATTATAATAAATACCTCTACTAGTTGTAAAATTTTAACACCTCAATAAATGCCACAGTGTTCCCACTAATAAATTTTTTAATTTAGTTTGTCATAATTTGGTTTCATCTACTCCTTTGTCTTTTTTTTTTTTTTTTTAGATGGAGTCTCACTATCTTGCCCAGACTGGTCTCAAACTGCTCTCCAACAGTCCTCCCACCTCATCCTTCAGAGTAGCTGGCATTGTGGGTAGGCACCACCATGCCCAGCTCCTGTTTTATAATATATAAGCCAGAGCTCTATTTCCAAATGTTACAAATCATCAATGCTATTAAAACAAGAATGGAAAAGCTTCAGGTGGTAATGGTGATTTTTTTCATCCTCCCTGTACTCTCATCACTGTGTGTGTGTGTGTGTGTGTGTGTGTGTGTCTGTTTATGTGTGTAATTTTTTTTTTTTTTTTTTGAGACTGTCTCATCACCCAGGCTGAATTGTAGTGGCTCCATCTTGGCTCACTGCAACCTCTGCCTCTGCATTCAAGCAATTCTCCTGCCTCAGCCTCCTGAGTAGCTGGAACTACAGGTATGTGCCACAACACCTAGCTAATTTTTCTATTTTTAGTAGAGACAGGGTTTCACCATGTTGGCCAGGATGGTCTTGAACGCCTGACCTCAAGTGATCTGCACACCTCAGCCTCCCAAAGTGCTGGGTTTACAGGTGTGAGCCACCATGCCCGGCCCAAATGTATATTTTTAAAGCTTAAATTCTCTGATTCCTAGGAAAGGGAATTTGCTTTCACCATATTACCCCTTCATCCAGTCACTTCTCCCAAAATACGAACTTTTAGTCTATTTAAGCAGAGAGATTAGCAGCCCCAAATCAAATCGACAGCTGTGGAATTCTCTCAACTACTAATTGGCATCGTAACAGAAATGCTATGTAATACTGATGATTCTCTCATGTTTGGCACTGTCTTTCCTTTTAATTAGGTAAAGAAACATTCTCAGTTATAACCTTCATCTTCCAGGGCCCATTAATCAGCTATTGCTTAAGTTCTTTAAGAACTCATGCTTATCATGGAAATTACATTTTTATGAATGATCCTGGTAACAGAGTCTAAATAATTGAATGTGTAAGTTCCCAATAGTTCCTTTCCCTTTAATGAGCCTCACTAATTCAGTTTAACTGATTAAAAGCTTTGTCCCAGACTTCTCTAGTGTGAAGTTGTAAGCTAGCATAGATTTTTTTAAATAGTACGGTATTAAAACATACAAACTGATGTTTTTGTGTGAATTATGATTCTTTATTCTGACTGGTACCTACAGAAGCAATAGGGAAACCTATCTAGTTCTGTCTTTTTCCATAGAGAAAGCCTGGACTATGTTTCTGGAAGGCCCCACTGTGGGGTGCTGCTTGTTCTGTGGTGTTGCTGTGCGGCGACTGGGAGCAGTGGAGGGCTGCCAGAGACCCTCTGAGATTCTGCCTTGTGCACACACACTGCCTGCAGGGCATGGCATTCTTGAGCCTATAAAGGAAGACTTCCTGGGCCCTGTGATGAGTATCCCCCGCACCCATATCAGCCACTAGCATTTTAAAGATGGTTTTAGTTGGGCACATAAGGACCCAGAAAAAAAGTTTTAAAATTACTTCATGTCATAGTTAATCAGTGAATGACATTAGTTTTTAATCCAAGAGCCTCATTCATGTTTTCTTGGTACTAAAAACTTTTACCAATCTGAATCCTCTTGTCATACTCTGAACACTAACCCCACCCATCCCACTGTCGCCAGATGGAGATCTTAGACTTGCAGGCTTCCAGCGGGATTCTTCAAATGAGCGTCCACACCAGTGCAGCTGGACACAACTGGGAACAGCAGGCTGGTCTTCAACACCTGGCTTCAGAGGCAGGGTAGGACTCGAGGCGCTTGCGCAGGTGGTTGGCAAAATCCACCTGGGTCTGGGACAGGACCTGGTTGATGATGCTCTTGGGCAGCCACCCCTGCAGTAGGAGGTAGGAGAATTTGGCCACCTTGTAGGTGATGGCCCATACAGACCCTTTTACATCCTATCACAAACAGGCTGCCAGGGGCTTGGTCTTCAAGCTCTGTTAATAGGTACAGCCTTTGAATTGGCCGGGTCAGGGGCCACAGGACTGCCTTGCTACCCTGCTGTTGTGACTTTCAGAAGCACAAAGACTGGCCAACATTTCAGGCTGGTCCTCCCAGTTGTGTGACCCTGAACAAGTTATGTCACCTTTTTCATGCTTCAGATTTCTGGACCTAAGTTTCCTTCTTTCCAAAATGATAACTACATACAGAGTTGAACTTTGCTGTAAGACAGAAGAAGGCCCAGCACAGTGGCTCACACCTGTAATCCCAGCACTTTGGAAAACTGAGGTGGGCGGATCACTTGAGGTCAGGAGTTTGAGACAGCCTGGCCAACATAGTGAAACCCTGTCTCTACTAAAAATACAAAAATTAGACAGGTGTGGTGGCACACACCTATAGTCCCAGCTACTCAGGAGGCTGAGACGGGAGAATCACTTGAACCCAGGAGGCAGAAGTTGCAGTGAGCTGAGACCATGTCATTGTTCTCCAGCCTAGGTGACAGAGTGAGACTCCATCTCAAAAAAAAAAAAAAGGCCGGGCGCGGTGCCTGTAATCCCAGCACTTTGGGAGGCCAAGGCAGGCAGATCACAAGGTCAGGAGTTTGAGACCACCCAGGCCAACATAGTGAAACCCCATCTCTACTAAAAATGCAAAATTTAGCCAGCAATGGTGATGCGTGCTTGTAACCCCAGCTTACTCAGGAGGCTGAGACAGGAGAATCGCTTGAACCTGGGAAGTGGAGGTTGTAGCAAGCTGATATTGCGCCACTGCACTCCAGCCTGGACAACAGAGCAAGACTCTGTCTCAAAAAAAAAAAGGAGGGTACCATCACAGGCTTTGGAGATGGTAGAGTAGCAATTAGGCCATCACTCACGGCCCTTCCTTTTCTTACAGCCTGTGATTCTATCAGAATGGAAGAGGATTCTTTGTGCTGCATGGGGGAGGGGAAGAGCCTGTTTTTCTCACTACCACCTGCTCCCCGGAGCCATCTCCCGTGCCCTTCACCTTGAGGTCGATGCTGAGCAGCCACGTGAGTTTGGTCTTGGAGGGACTTCCAGCCAGCGGGTGAAGCACCATACAAGTGGGACCATGTTCCGCCCTGGCAAATGGAGAAGTCAAGTCAGGAGGACAGTTGCAAGTTGAGTTCTCTCTTGCACTGGCCAGTTATGCCAGTACTGTAGATACACGTTTCTAGAGTAACTTGTCTTTTCTAAGTCTCATCAGGGAAGTGCCCCTTGCCAATAGTAATTATTTGGCAGTTGGCACGGTTACCGCCTCATCAGAATAAAACCTGCTTGTAGCTGGAGCGGCCCCTGAGGCTGCTCGTGCCCTTTAGTTGCTGGATTACAGGGAGGTCAGGGAAAGGATTCAGGCTGGTGGCTGGGCTGGGGCCTTGTGAAATTTGGGAGGCCATGGTGTTCTAAGTGGTATGATTTATTTCAATATTTTAGTCAACATTACACCTGTGCCTGAGCATACTCGCTGAACCTCAGCCCTACCCCATGCTTCAGAAAATAATAAAGGTTCCTAAACTTTCTGAGAGGGTCAGGGCAAGTTTAAGTTTTTTTTTGTTTTTTTTTTTTTTGAGACGGAGTTTCACTCTTGTTACCCAGGCTGGAGTGCAATGGCGCGATCTCGGCTCACCGCAACCTCCGCCTCCTGGGTTCAGGCAATTCTGCCTCAGCCTCCTGAGTAGCTGGGATTACAGGCATGTACCACCATGCCCAGCTAATTTTTTGTATTTTTAGTAGAGACGGGGTTTCACCATGTTGACCAAGGATGGTCTCAATCTCTTGACCTCATGATCCACCCGCCTCAGCCTCCCAAAGTGCTGGGATTACAGGCTTTAGCCACCGCGCCCGGCCTAGTTTAAGGTTCTTAAACTTTCTGGGAGCTGTCTGGCTGGCCAGGTAGGGCCTATCTTGTCCTTGTCCCCTGCTTTGGTAAATAAGTATCTTCTTTTGCACAAGGAAGCCCTGGTTGGGGATCAAGGGTTGATTTCTTGGAGCGGGGGATGCAGTCCACATGTTTGGGTGCACACCTGCAGGCCTGTGTTGGAAGAGGGGGGTTGGGAGCCTGCCACCCGTATTACCTGATGACACCCTTCTGCTCAGGCATGTTCCCGAAGTCTGTGGCCATGCCAGCCAGCACACAGGTAGAGCCTCGGCGCTTGGCACAGCGCACGCTCACAAAGTCACGGGGCCCCACCAGGCTTCCTGCTGCCTCTGCAGCCAGCTCATGGGTAATGACTGTATCTTTTCCAATCTTCTGCAGGACCTACCAGGCCATGGGGAACCAGAATCACAACTCAGCCCGTGTTGAGCTAAACACCTCCCACACCTAGGGGTCCCCTCTTTGATCCACCGTTTCCACTGGGCTCTCCTGGGCCCCTGCCACCCACACCTGGACTTTGCTTACCTTGATCTCCTTGACACTGGGGTTCCACTCCCCCATGGCCTCCATGCGTTCCACGAGCTCTTCATAGAGCCTCTCCATGGGCTGGTCCACCACGACCTCCAGCCGGAACACCTTTCCCACATCTGGGACCACTTTACTCATCACTTTGTCCCCATTGTCCTGTCAGAGAAAGGAGCCCCAGGAGAGGGTTAGACAAAAATATTCTTGGCTGGGTGCAGTGGCTCACGCCTGTAATCCCAGCATTCTGGGAGACCGAGGCAGGTGGATCACGAGGTCAAGAGTTCAAGATGAGCCTGGCCAAGATGGTGAAACCTTGTTTCTACTAAAACTACAAAAATTAGCCAGGCACGGTGGTGGGCACCTGTAATCCCAGCTACGAATCGCTTGAACCGGGTGGCAAAGGTTGCAGTGAGCCGAGATTGCACCACTGCACTCCAGCCTGGCTGACTTAGACTCCGTCTCAAAAACAAAAAACAAATATATATATATATATCTATTTTAGCCTAGGTCTCATAGATCAGGTGTCCCCAAACTTTTTACACAGGGGGCCAGTTCACTGTCCCTCAGACCGTTGGAGGGCCGCCACATACCGTGCTCCTCTCACTGACCACCAATGAAAGAGGTGCCCCTTCCTCAAGTGTGGCGGGGGGCCGGATAAATGGCATCAGGGGGGCCGCAGTTTGGGGACGCCTGTCATAGATGATACCAAGCAAGGTGGGAAGAGGAACAGCAAAGGAACTTTAAGCTGAGCACGAGGAAGCCTGGAACTGTCCTAAGATAGAGTTGGTAATCATTGTTGCCATGGCCTTGTGCGTCAGCTAACAACTGGAGGAGGTTACCTGCTGTTACTGGGCCCTTTTTTACATTTTTTTCTTGTTTTTTTGAGACAGAGTCTGTTGTTGTCCAGGCTGGAGTGCGTGACAATCGTGCAGTGACATAACCTCAACCTTCTGGGCTCAAGTAATCTTTCTAGTTGAGTCTCCCAAGTAGTTGGGACTACAGGCATACATTTTTATTATTATTTTTTTTAATAGAGATCTCCCTGTGTTGCTCAGGTTGGCCTCAAACTCCTAGGTTCAAGCAGTCCTCCCATCTCAGCCTCCTGGCATGAGCCACTGCGCCCAGCCCCCCTGGACCCTTTGTTTTGGTGGCGAATGATGGTGGTATGGGTAGGTCCAACTGAAAAGACCCTTACTTGACTTCAGAAGCTCGAGGATCCCAAGAGAGAAACCTGGGAGTGGGAAAAGTGGTTTACATCAGCTTAACTAGATATGTGGAATGTTGATGAGATCTTAAAAATTTGTTTTAGTTCAATGCCTCATTCCACACCAGAAGAATGTGGGGCCAGAGAAGGCCAGTGATTGGCTCAGGAACCCTTAGCTAAGAGAGTGCTGGCCTAAGTCCCGGGTTCCTTGACTCCCAGACAAGTAGCCTGGTAACTCCATTACTCTGAGAACTTAGAGAAGGAGAGGTTCTACCTGAACTTGGGTAGTGGGCAGCATGTCAGCTTTTGATGAAGGTAAAGCCACCAAAGTCTCCATGACAGAGCCACCAGCATTAACTGTGAACCTGGTTACTGTCCCCAGTGATGGGGCAGTGCTCAAGCACAGAGAACCCCAGAAGGCTGTGGGCCACTCTGTGTTCTAGTCCAGGCCTGTTGCAGGGTGAGCCCACATCACCCCTGCAAACCCCACCACAAGTGGGCTGACAGCACAAGACAGTGCACTTTGGTGTCGTTAGGAGACCTGACCCAGGGCGATGAGGACTCGTGTGCACTTAGGAGTCCCTCTTGCATGGTCCCTGCCAAGTGGGTCCACAATGCAATCCTATCCTGTAGCTAAGGACACAGGAATAGTGTTTCTCCAACAGGACTCTCCAGGATGCCTTCTATGGGGGAAGAGCATTAATCTGAGAATATATTCTTGGGAGAGTTCTCAAGTTAAAACCACTGGCTGCCCAGTGACTGCTGCGAGACAGAAATTCTGGGAAGAACAGTAGCCCCAGCTGGCCTTGAGGATGGCAGTAGAGCAAGGAGGAACCACAGGCTTCTCCCCGACGCTTACCTGCTGGCTCTCCTTCTTCCAGCCCTCCTGATTGCTTAGGATGCCCAAGGCTTTTTGCATGGCCTCCTCCCCCTGTCGGAGATAAGCCAGCTCCTGGTCACTGTAGAGAGTCTCTTCCAGCCGAGAACCTGGGGTACACAGCCAAAGAGAGACAGAGCTTCCTTCATCTCCCAGCCTCCACCAGCTCTCATCCCTGGAACTCTGTGTCTGCTCTTTCCTCTGAAGAGCCAGAACCAAAGCCATAGGGGCCAGCCTGCTGGTCAAGTTAGACACAGCCACCATAGGTGACCGGAGGGGGATCTGACCTTGAGGAACTCTACCTGGGAATGTTCTATCACAATGAAAGAAGGGCATGAGGGGAGCCAAAGCCACATGCACCACATCACCCTCCCAGGAGCTTCCCTGGGAAGTACCGGGACCCCAGAAGCCTCAGCACTTACCAAGCAGAGAGCTCCGCCGCCGAACCTGGTTAATCCATGCACTAGGAGTGGGGCCCCCCAGGGCCCTCCGGTTCAGCTCCTGGCCGATGGCCATCACAGCCTGTTGCCTCAGCCCTGCAGGGAGGGAAGAACCCTTTTTCTAGGAGCTGGAAAGCCCCTTAGAGATGGACCATTCACCTCCTCATCTTGTCACAAGTGAGGAAATTGGCTTGGAGAGGGAAGTGACTTGCTCAGGAGCACACAGGATTCTAGGAGGGACCTGAACTAGACCCTGGCCCCCAGCTCCCACCACAGTGCTCCAGGGTTCAGAAATCTAACTTCCATCTAGGGTGCCTGGAGACGGGCTGTACCAGAGCCTGCTGGATTTTCTGTCCCTAAAGGGGAAGAAGCTGTGTTCAAACAACCAGAAGAATCCTACTTCAGAAGGAGAATACAACCCCTGAGGTCTGTGTGCTTGCATGCATCTGTGCTTGCATGAAGTCTGTCTGCTTACCTGAGGTCTGTGTGCTTGCATGCATCTGTGCTTGCATGAGGCCATGTGCTTACATGAGTCTGTGTGCTTGCATGTATCTGTGTTTGCATGAGTCTGTGTGCTTGCATGTATATGTGCTTGCATGAGGTCTGTGTGTTTACATGAATCTGTGCTTGCACAAGTCTGTGTACTTGCATGAGTCTGTTTACATGAGGTCTGTGTGCTTGCATGAGTCTGCTTGTATGAAGTCTGTGTTTACGTGAATCTGTATTTGCACAAGTCTGTGCTTGCATGAGTCTGTTTACATGAGGTCTGTGTGCTTGCATGAGTCTGCTTGCATGAAGTCTGTGTGTTTGCATGAGTCTGCGTGCTTACATGAGGTCTGTGTGCTTGCATGACATCTGTTTACATAAGGTCTATGTGTTTCCATGAGGTCTGTGTGTTTCCATGAGGTCTGTGTGCTTGTATGAATCTGTGCATGCATGTGACTGTGTGCTTGCATGTGACTGTGTGCTTGCATGTAACTGTGCTTGCATGTGACTGTGCTTGCATGTAACTTTGTGCTTGCATGCATAATCTGCTCCGTGTGCCCCTGGATTCTGAGCCAGGCAAGTCCTATCCATCTAATGAGGACAACCTCACTGCTGGCTGCAGATCTATGAATGGCTTCCGGCTCTAACAGTAGCTAATTCGATCCAGTGCAATTGGAAAGATTGTGTCTAGATTGACTTGTGTAGCCTTCAGTGGCAGCAGGAGATTGATTCAAATGACCTTGGGTGCTAATCAGCTCTGCAAAAGTGGCCTCTTGTAGCTGGTTCCTGCCTCTTTCTGGCTATTCAGTAGCAACCAGCCTTCCCAGCCCCACCATCTTCTCTCTCTCTCTCTTTTTTTTTTTTTCCAGATGGAGTCTTGCTCTGTTAAGCAGCTGGAATGCAGTGACTTGATCTTGGCTCACTGCAGCCTCCACCTCCTAGGTTCCAGCAGTTCTCCTGCCTCAGTCTCCCAAATAGCTAGGACTGCAAGTGCACGCCACCACGCCCAGCTAATTTTTGTATTTTTAGTATAGATGGGGTTTCACCATGTTGCAAGGATGGTCTCAACCTCTTGACCTCGTGATCCGCCTGCCTTGGCCTCCCAAAGTGCTGGGATTGCAGGCGTGAGCCACCGCACCTGGCCGTCTTCTCCTTACCTGTCTTACTCCCCTGTCTCTCTTCTCCATCTTTTCTTGCCTGTGGGAGTCAAATCTAGTATTTACTCTGCCACTGTGGGCAAGACTTTCTTGGTATCCCTGCTACAAGCCTTGTCCAGCAGTAAAAGAAGGCAAAGTCAGAAATCCTTCAAAAAGATGACCAGGCATGGTGGTGCATGCCTGTAGTCCCAGCTACTCAGGAGGCTGAGGCAGGAGAAGTATTTGAACCAGGAGGCTGTAGTGAGCCAAGACAGCACCACTGAACTCCAACCTGGGTATCAGAGCAGACTCTGCCTCAAAAATAAAACAGGCTGAGCGCTGTGGCTCACACCTAGAATCCCAGCACTTTGGGAGGCAGAATAGGGCTGATCACCTGAGGTCAGGAGTTCAAAGCCAGCCTGGTCAACATGGCAAAACCCTGTCTCTACTAAAAATACAAAAATTATCCAGGCATGGTGGCGTGGACCTGTAATCCCAGCTCCTCAGGAGGCTGAGGCAGGAGATCACTTGAACCCAGGAGGTGGAAGTTGCAGTGAACCAAGATCATGCCACTGTGATCAAGGCTGAGCAATAGAGCAAGACTCCGTCTCAAATAAAACAGGCCAGGCCTGGTGGCTCACACCTGTAATCCCAGCACTTTGGGGGGCCAAGGTGAGAGAATCCCTTGAGCCCAGGAGTTTGAGGCTGCAGTGAGTTGTTATTCCACTGTATTCCAGTCTCTGTGACAGAAACCTTGATTCAAATAAACAAAGAAAAGGTAGAAGAAAAAAAGAACAAAGGAAGAAAAAGGAAGGAAGAAAGGGACAGAAGGAGGGAAGGTAAAAGGAAGAAAGAAAAGGTGAAAAAAAGACTGGAGTTCTAGAGGGGAGACCAGAAATTATAGAACGTGGATGGGATACATCTTATAACCAGCGCACTTCTTCAGAAGGGAAAACTGAGATTCAGACGAAAGAAACTTGCCCAGGTTCACCTAGTAAGAGGCACAACTAGGATCGGAATTGGGTGGCCTGAGCCTCATCTGCTGAGAGCTCTTGGCCAACCCCTCATTGCCTCCTTCCCGCAGTGCTCACCCTTCATGTTGCGCATGTGTCTGTAGGAGCTCCCGGCACACAGCTTGAATGTCGCTAGCAGCATTGTTTCCTGGCAGATGTGGCAGTGGTGGGGCTGCTGCTGCTTTTTCGTCCTTCTGGAGCCCCTCAAGCTTCACCTCTGAGTGCCGCAGCTGCAGCCTGGACCTGGTGTTCTGCGTCTTAAATACCCCCCGCTGAAGGCTGTGCATCATCATCGAGATAAAAACGCCATCACTCAATGTACAAAGGAAGGGGTCAAGGATAGAACGATTGCCTCACACTGCTGCTTTGGCCATTTGTGGGGAGCGCGGGGGGAGGGTGTAGCAGGGAGTAGGGAGGCCAGGGTCAGGCTGGAGAGATGGAGGGGAGAGAAGCAGCGGCCACTGGGATGGGGGCAATTTAGATGAAGGCACACAGTAGTTCTCAGGAGTTTAAAGTGCAGATTTCTAGCCCTTGTCCTCAGAAACTCCAGGCTCAGCTGATCTGGAATTGAGGCTCAGAAACCTGCATTAAAAGAGAAGAAAAGGCCGGGCGCGGTGGCTCAAGCCTGTAATCCCAGCACTTTGGGAGGCCGAGGTGGGTGGATCTCGAGGTCAAGAGATAGAGACCATCCTGGTCAACATGGTGAAACCCCGTCTCTACTAAAAATACAAAAAAATTAGCTGGGCATGGTGGCGCGTGCCTGTAATCCCAGCTACTCGGGAGGCTGAGGCAGGAGAATTGCCTGAACCCAGGAGGCGGAGGTTGCGGTGAGCCGAGATCGCGCCATTGCACTCCAGCCTGGGTAACAAGAGTGAAACTCTGTCTCAAAAAAAAAGAAAATAAATAAATAAGAAGAAAAAACTTCCCTTGGCCAGACGCAGTGGCTTACACCTGTAATCCCAGCCCTTTGGTTGAGGTGGGCAGATCACTTGAGGTCAGGAGTTGAAGACCAGCCTGGCCAACATGGGAAATTCCATCTCTACTAAAAATAAAAAATTAGCCAGGTGTGGTGGTGCACACCTGTAGTCCCAGCTACTCGGGAGGCTGAGGCATAAGAATCACTTGAACCCAGGAGGCAGAGGTTGCAGTGAGCCAAGATCGCACTACTGCATTCCAGCCTGGGCAACAGAGTGAGACTCCGTCTTCACACATACATACATACATACATGCATAAATAACTTCCCAGTGGTTGCAATGCATGTGTTGTGTGTACACACTACACTTTTGAGAACCACCATCTCAGGCGAGTGAACCAGGATGTTTAACAGGCAGTAGAGACCATCTGGCTGTTGTTCTGGGTGAGGACCCTGAAGTCCAGAGAGTGGAATTGACTTGTTCGAGGTTAAACAGCTGGCCAGGGGCAGGGCCAGAACAACAACGCAAGCCTCTCGGCCTTCAGGCCATCTGCACAGTTCCTCCTGCAGTCCCCAGGACACCTGGTATGTTCAACTGTCCATTTATTTACTCATCCATTTATAGAAACAACCTTTCCCAAAGCCCTGTTCTGAGTGCGGGTTCCTCTCGGGTCTGTGCTGGAGCAGGAATGACCTCTCACGGCTGAGTTGGGGGTGCAGCCTTATCAGCTTACAGCAGTGAGAAGATGTGGGCCTGGGCCATGCCCGCACCCTTTCTCACGCTTTTCCCCCAGTAGCTTTGGCTGCATGAGCTGGGCTGAGGGTCTTGGTATGTGCAGAAGCTTGGAAAGACAGGGCATTGGGGTGTTCACCCTAGTCTTTGCACTTTGGGGGCCCTGTCAGGCTGAGCAAGGCCCTGGGAGGTCTCTGCATTTCCTGTTCACCCTTACCCAGGCACAGCACGTGCTGGGCTGTGACGGAATCTCTTCCCTTAATGGTGACCTTGAGGCTGCTTTTAAGCCAGATTGATTCACTGGTCAAGAATATTGGGAGTGGAAAGACTTGCATTGGAACTGCCCCTAGCCAGGGCCCTGCTCCCTGTGTGAGGGGGTTCTGTGTCCTCCCACCACCTCAAGGAGGCAGAGGGGAGTCCTAAAAATGGGGAGCAGTACCGGGGCCCCACACACTCTCACTGTCTTCCCCACTCCAGACAGGATGAAAGGGACAGGATCTGCTCAGAGCCAGGCCTGGCACCTGGAGCCCATACAGAACAGGGGAGTTGTCCTTGAGACCCGATTTCCACCTTGGTGAGGCAGTGGGTGGGCTCCTGGAGCCCAGACAACTGGGGAGTTATTCCCCCAACCCCTGATTTCCACCTTGGTGAGGCAGTTGGGAGAATCCTGTGAGCAGAGGCTGCCCAGAGGCACCTGGCCCCTTCCTCAAGTCCTTCTCCTCCAGGAAGGCTTCCTGGACCACCCCTGTCTTCTGGAATGGCTGGTTCCTCCCACCACACCCTTACGGTCAGTATCACTTGAGGGGCTTAGCTCTGGTCCTGATTTGTTGACTTGTTTGTGAGTGTTTGCTTATCTCTTCTGTGGAATTATCTCCCCAAGGCAGGTACTGGGTCCACCTTCCCCCTTAAATGCTGCCCCCTACCCTCAGCATTCAGCTCCATCAGAGACACAGGGGACTTTTGCTCCTTCTCTATTAAATTTTTCTTTTATTTTTAAAAATAGAGATGGGCTCTTGCTATGTTGCCCAGGCTGGTCTTGAACTCCTTGGGTCAAGCCATCCTCCTGCCTCAGTCTCCCAAAGCGAGCCACTGCACCTGGTGTGCTCCTCTATTGAGTGACCAACTGGGAAAGCAGCTAGGGGCGCAAGTACATCCTTAGACTCAGAAACCTGCCTGAAGGCATTGTCTCCAGCCCTTAGAGAGTCCCCAGGAGGACAGAAGGGCCTCTCCTCCTCTGTCAGCCTGTGCCTAGGACCTTTCAGAGAGGAGCTGAAGTGGATGGGCTGGGCTGGGCAGGCCAGGCACCAGCTCCCCCGCCTCCTCTCTCTCATCTGCTGGGGCATGTGCCCCTCCTGCACATGTGTGCCTGCCTCAGCGAGGTCGGGGGGAAGCGGGAGGCGGTTATTATGGGACATGCCATGCAGATGATCCTCAAGGCCCTGCTGCTGCCTTTCTGTGGAGAATTATGGCTATTCGGAGAGGGGAGGAGGTGGGAGGATCGAGCCTATGGCCATGGCTGATGTCAGAGGCTGCCATTGACTCTGGAGGGGGATTGGGAGGTGGTGCTGAGTGACCTCAGCAAGGGCCAAGGCTCTCTTCCTCATTCTTTCCAGGCAGAATGACTTGTTAACTCTTGCCATCCCTCTGAGCAGTAAGGTGGCAAGAGCGGTCTGGGAATTTCCTCTGGTTCTGGACCATCTGTATCTGGCTCTGCTTTTTGATGAGGGCAGCGCTTCCAAGAAAGGAGGCCAGATGGCCACAGCAGACCATGGGGGAGGATATCCTGGGGCCCAGCTCAGGTGGTGTGGGCGTGCCATGCTGGAGAAGAAGCCCCCAGTCGAGGGGAGAGTGCCAGGGCTTTGGAGCAGACAAGGGAATTCCAATCCCTCCCTTCCTCCCTCTCTCCTTCCTTCCTTCCTTCCTCCCTCTCTCCCTTCCTTTCTTCCCTCCCTCCTTCCCCTTCTTCCCTCCCTCCCTCCTTCCTTCCCTCCCTCCCTTACTTCCTTTCCTCCCTTCTTCCCTCCCTGCATTCTTCCCTCCCTCCCTCCCTCCTTTTTTTCTTCCTCCCTTCCTTCCTTCCTTCCTTCCTTCCTTCCTTCCCTCCTTCCCTCCCTCCCTCCCTCCTTCCCTCCCTCCCTCCTTACTTCCCTCCCTCCCTTCCCTCCCTCCTTTGTTTCTTCTTGCTTTCCTTCCTTCCTTCCATTTATTCAACAGTCCTTTCCAGAATGTCCCTATATGGCTGTAAAGCTAGGATGATATGAATTCAACTATATGACTCAGTATGGACAGTCATAGGGCAGATTAGGTGTTTTGGAAGTAGAGATGATGGAACCCCTAATTCTAGTGGGGAGGGAAGGAGGAGTGTTATGGAATTTTTCTGGAAAGTACAATTGGGAGTCAGCTAGGTTTATGGAAGGGCTTGAAAATCGAGAGGTGATGGGGCGAGGGTTTCCAAGGTAGAGCAGTTGGCCAGCAGCTTGGTGGAGGCTCTGAGGGCTGTGAGCTGGCTGTCGGGGGAGCTTGGGCCGTTCCACGTGGCGTGGCTGTGGGGATCCTGGATGTTGGTGGGGTGTGGTGAGAGCTGAAGACTGGAAAGAGGAAGAGGTCAGAGTGTGTAGGGTGGGAATGGGAGGATTCCTCTTCAGGTTCCCAGGAGGCAGAGGCTGAGGTTGGGGAGGGGGATGAGCTTGTCTGGGCTCCAGCTCAGAGAAGGTGCAAGCAGCTCCTACCTATGGCTTTAGTGCCCTGAGAGTGTCAGGCAGAGTTGGGGATGCCTGTGGTTTGTGTTCAAATGACCCCCGAGTCATGCTCCCACCTCTAACTTTATGATTGTTAACAGCTCACTTCTTTCTTTTCTTTCTCTTTTTTTTTTTTTTTTTTTTTTTTGAGACAGTCTTGCTTTGTCACCCAGGCTGGACTGCAGTAGAGCAATCTTGTTTCACTGCCACCTCCACCTCCCAGGTTCAAGTGATTCTCCTGGCTCAGCCTCCTGAGTAGCTGGGATTACAGACATGCACCACTGTACCTGGCTAATTTTTTGTATGTTTAGTAGAGATGGGGTTTTGCCATGTTGGCCAGGCTTGTCTTGAACTCCTGGCCTCAAGTGATCTGTCCACCACCTCGGCATCCCAAAGTGCTGTTTCTTTAATCTGAACTTCCTTGCCTGTAAAATAGGGATATATGCAGAGCATTGTGGCTCATGCCCATTTTCCCAGCACTTTGGGAGGCTGAGGCAAGCAGATCACTTGAGGTCAGGAGTTTAATACCAGTCTGGCCAACATGGCGATACACCATCTCAACTAAAAATACAAAAATTAGGCCAGGCATTGTGGCTCATGCCTGTAATCCTAGCACTTTGGGAGGCCAAGGCGGGCAGATCACGAGGTCAGGAGATTGAGACCATCCTGGCCAACGTGGTGAAACCCCATCTCTACTAAAAATACGAAAAAAGCCCCATCTCTACTAAAAATACAAAAAAGTTAGCTGGGCGTGGTGGTGTGCGCCGTAGTCCTAGCTACTTGGGAGGCTGAGGCAGGAGAATTGCTTGAACCCAGGAGGCAGAGATTGCAGTGAGCCGAGATCATGCCACTGCACTATAGCCTGGGCGACAGTGCAAGACTTCGTCTCAAAAAAAAAAAAAAAAAAATTTGCCGGGCATGATGGGGCACACCTATAATCCCAGCTACTTGAGAGTCTGAGGCACAAGAATCACTTGAACACAGGAGTTGGAG